ATCAGCTTGGAGGGTTCAGGGTATCTCCTAGTCAAGCAGTCTCGACTAGAGTCTTATAATTTCCCTTTAAATATTTCCCAATTGAGCTGATATTATTTACTAAATTTTAAATATTTACTTTAAATTTTACTAAAGTTTTTAGTGCCGATGCAGTTTTCCCAGTAATTATTTACGATACCTCATAAATAATAAATTTGAAACAAGGCTTTGGGCTTTCTTATATAGAAACATTCAGAGGTCATATTCTTGACTTTGTTAATATTGTACATCCAGAATTATAGCTGTTCATTAGTTAGTTTCTCTCAGTCGAGGCTAAAAAAATACTTCCGTTCGTCGACACTTTTTCTTACCTGTAACTCCAAATCTTTTTCAATCGTGCTCCATCCGTAAATAACAAATGCAAGTTAAGGTTGTATTTTATATTTTTAAAATTTATTTTTATTGCATTTTTTCTTTTTTTCTTTCGTTTGTATGAATCTCAAATATTCTGTTTGTTTTGTGTTACTCTCCGCTATTTTATTTGCCATGCGCATATATTATTACATTTTCTGCACGTTTTTAAAGGTTTCCCATTTTTATATTAATTTTTATGCTTGTTTACAATTTGTCACAACCTTACAAATTGAAAATTGATATAAACCAATATATAGTTTTTGCTCAATTAAATTTGTCTCTTGTTTATAGCCATTTATGAATGCATTGGATTGTATCTGTGTGCGTGTATATAAACAAAAGTTAAGGGCGTCAAGAGGGGTGGAGAGGGGACGGGTCCACAAGTGTCGAGAATGTTTCGTCTTCTGGGAGATGGAGAGAAGCTGCTGTGTGTGTGTGAGAAATTGTTGCGGGAGTCCGCTAATATAATACTATTCGTCTCGTCTGTTGTGTTATCAATTTTGTTTGTAAGGAAGCGCCCAGGGACGCTTAACTTCTAGCTCTCGTCTCTATACACAATGCTAAGTTTTAAAAATATTTTTCTTCATCGTTTAAAGGTTGAAATGTCTGTCTAATCAATTAATCAATCATTCGTCTTGGGGAGGGGAATTTCTGCTCACAAGTTTTCAATTTATATATATATAATTTTTGTTTTGTTTTTTATTTATTTTAATTTTTTGTTGCTTTTTGCATTTGTTTGCTTTGTCCATTCATAAAAACAAATGGTACAACTTACAATTTGGCACATCTTTAAAGATAAGTGTTTTATTTTCATATAATATATATTCATATATATAATTCATATTTATAATTTATATAACGCCTATGCGTATGCTCTATGTGAAAGTGAACAAAAGCGGCGCGGGCTTATGGTTAGACTACACAGATTAAAGATTACAGCTTTAAGATTCGTAATTCTCATTCTTGTTCTTGTACTGGGTGTTTATAATTGGGCGTGTATCAGGGCGGGCGCACAGAAATTATCGAAAGTATTAAATAAAAATTAAAATATAAAGTTTAAAAATAGGTATGTAGTATATATATATATATATATATATTATTATATATTTATAGCTGCAGTGTTTGATTGAATTGCGTTTGCATTTTACATATTTATACTTAGGTTGATTTTAGTTCATACCTTTGCTTAAGACTGTGTTTTCTTTATCTTTTTGTTTGTTTTAAAAAATTGCGGTGGAAGTTGAGTTTATAAATTTTTTGTATTCTATTATGTTAGAGTTTTAATAACTACTTGGTTTATTTCGCCTTGTATACCAAACCCAAAAGTATTTCAGTTTCCTGTGTGTGTGTTGCCAAAAATTGTGATATACTAGGTTTGTTAATATATGTATTTATTTCTGTGCTATTTTAAAAGATTTGTTATAGTTTTTGTTGCTTTGTTTTTTATTGTTTTTGTTTTTGTTTTTTTTTTTTAATTTTATTTGCTTTTGTTTATTCTTTAATTTAATTAAGAGTCTATTCACTTGAAAGCTACATTTAATTTGGCAATTGTTGGGTTTGAATTGATTTGTTTCCTTTATTAGTATTTAATTTTTATTTCTTTTTTCAGTGTATTTGTCGTCAGCCTAATAACTAAATCTAACTAAAAATCATATTTAAATATAAACTTTGGCTTGAAAAATGTCAACGTAATTATAATTCAAATGTTAATTTTGCTTTCTTTTGCAATTGTCTTGCAATTATATTAAAAGAAACATTTAAAATCCCAATAAGACATAAATTGCTTCGAGTTGCTCTTGTGTGTGTGTTTGTGCGTGTGTCTAAGTGTGAGTATAAGAGAATTCATAGTAATTATGTACAATCTCAAAATGTAAATATATAATTAGCAAATAGAAGATGAACAGCAAGTGTTGGACCTTTTTTTAAGTTAAAAGAATAAATTTGAGTGAGAAATTGCACATACACACAAAAACGAATTTACGATATATTAAACTTTTTGTCAGTTTTTCGGTTTTCTATCTTTGTTTTTTCATATATAAACAACGAGTATAAGTCTTAGGACAGTAGCTGCCTAAAGATCGAAATAGAGAACGAGGTCATATTACTTATTGAGCATTTATTTTTGTTTTTCATTTGTTATTTCTATGGATTGGTTTCTTCCAACATACATTTTAAATACACAACTGCATAAGTTAATTGTGTGCATTAGACTTGATAGAGTGTGTGTAAAATAAATTCTTAGCTTGCTTAGGGAAGTTTTGTGGTCTATACCAAAAAATTAACAACACTGAAACGATGTGAAGTTATGTAATAATATATATATATATCAATTTTGCTTTTCTTTTCTTTCTTTAAATTTAAATATTTTTGTTTGTTTGCTTTTTGGTTTTTACACAACACACAAAGAAAGTGCTACATAGTAAGAGCTAATAATGTACTTTATTTTAATGCTTACTACGCAATTTCACGTTTTTATCTCTGTCACTGGAAGCTTGAATTTAAAAACTATTCTGCATTAATATTTTTATTATTATTACTCACAATATATATATATAATTGTTTGTTTTTTTTTTCCCTTCTATTAAAGGGTTTTTTTTTTTTTTTTTTTTTTTTTTTTTTTTTGTTGCTGCTACGGCCGCATTAAAGTAATTATTATTGTATGTTCCAAGGATATGTCTACGTGTTGATCTTTTGCATTTACCTATGCACTACGAGTTGAGCAATATCATTTTCATTTTCATAGAGTTGACTTTCCGTTTTAGCTGCCGAATAAAACTTTCTAGGAACAATATGGAGCAAAGCAGATTAAAACATGTTAAAAATAAAAATAATAACTTTGTTGACAATAATAAAATGAGTATTCTTTGGAGACTTACTAACGTATAGAGAGATTAGGGTAAACAATTATAAGGTGTTGGCTGTTTCTTAATTTTCATTGTTAATTTCAAATAATTATCTGGCTCTGGTTTACTATAAACTACAATGGTATATATGTAACGAATACGAGAACAGAAATCATGAAATTGGTATATATTTAAATATATATATGTGTACAGCTAACTTAATGAACCAAACTAAAAAGTAAAACTTGATCTGGGTATCTTGTCAATTTTCGAGTTTGCAGCCTGAAAATACATTCGAATTGCTCATTTTTGATATACAATTACAATATCTATTGGTATAATCATAATATATCCAGTAGGTATATAATTTTTAAATATAAATTCTGCCGCACAAAATTTCAGCTTTTGTTTTTAGTAAAAATCTACGCGTGAAGCACGTTTGTTTTTTCTCGCAAATTAATTGCCATTTAAATATTTTGTGTATACTGCATTTCATTATTTATGCTTTTTATGGACGACATTGATTTGTATTTGTTTAAAAAATTGTTTCTTTTTTTGTTTATATTACTCTTGCCTAATGAGCCGCCAGCATGCGGCAGCTTTTAGCTTTGATTTTCAACTCTCCATTTTTTGTTGTTTTTGAGTGGGTTCTGCGTTCCGTCGATCATCTTTGAGCATCTGTATTTGCGCGTCTGGATCTATGTATATAGATTGAACTGCTACATACTGCACTGTAGGAGGAGGAGTAATTACGTCTAATTCTTGTTCATACATTGAGCATTTTCGAGAGTAGATCAATTGCGTTTTTTGGCTGACTTCTGAAGCTTTTTAATATGGCGTGAAGCGATTGTAGCCACCGCGATACATGGTTGCCTGATTGAAATTGGATATGGGATTGACAAATGGAGATAATAAGTCATTAAATTTATTTTAAGTACATTTCGTATTAACTCAAGTAGTTTAATATTAATACAGGCATTAATTTCAAAGCGAATAAAAAACCAACTTACCCCATAGCCGGGCACGGGTCCGATGCCATGTCCCAGATAAGGATCCGCATATTCGCGCGCGTAACTAGAAATATTTCGTTTGCGACTTATTAATTAATTTTTCAACGATAGTTAGTTGCTATAAATATGATTTGGGGGCTTGATGAACTCCACTTGGGTTAGTTGTGTTTAGCTTTTGTGTGTTGCAATAATAATTTTTTTTTTTTTTTTTCATTAGTGGCTCTTTTGATTTTTCCTTAGATGTGTATTCTTCAGTATTCTCCTTCTTCTTCTTCTTCTTTTCTCTCTCCAGCTTCTTCTTATCAGTTAGTATTAGTAAAAGTTGTTTAGTTTTGATAGTGTTTTGCAAAAATGTTCGATTGTTAGTTGAAACTCTTCAATTTTCGGTTTTAGATTTTTGCTACTCTTGAGAATGTTTATTATGTTTTGCGAATTAAACAAAAAAGAATCAAATCAAATAAATTAGTAATGTGTACATAAAGAGATATTACAATAGAACAATAAAATAATCAATCAATAAACTACGAAATAAAATAGATAACAAATAATAAGAGTTGTGATAATTTAATAATATACAATCAATATAAAATAGAGTATTTCGAAGTCCGAAAATCTGGTTTTAATATAATAATTAAAAAATAACATATATATAACATGACTGCTTTAGAGATATTCATATATTGGAATGCAGAGACGGATAGACGGATATAAAGAAATAGAGATATTCAAAAGAAAGAATATAGAGACGAATAGATGAAAATGTATATATAGACAATGTTTGCTGGACCAATGATACGGTAATATGATATATAAACTAAATATATATATTTTATTTATTGAATACATATATGGTAAAATATATAACAATGAACTAAATGTGGAAAAACTAAAATAAATTTGTAGTATAAATCAAATTTTCCTTTATATCAAGTAAACTTTCTAGTAGTCGAACATTCCATCTCTTACCTAGTCTTACTTCAGTTTTAGTTGGATTACTTTAGGTGATTTTGGATTTAAGTTGTGTTACGATTATTATTAAATTTAGTCAAGTCTTTCGTGGAGCATTTGTGTGCGATGAGTGTGATGGAGCTCAACTGTGCGAGCGTGGGACATGAACACATGAAAAACTGAGATGAAAACTTACCCCGCTACGGTGGCATAACCAGCGAGTGCCGGCTGGGCGGCTGCAGCTGCAGCGGCCCCGTAGGCCCGGGCAGCGACCGCCGTGTAGGTGGTGGCCGCCGTGGCATACGCCTGCTGCTGGGCCTGAGACAGGGGTGTCTTTAACAGAGGAGCAGTGGCCTGGAATAACGTGAAGCAAATTGTGTGTTAAAGGGAAGGTCAATCGAACAGATACAACGGCAACGACAAAACTAGCGACAGGTGATAGAGAGAGCAAAATGGCAAAAAGAGTTAAGAACCTAAACCAAAAAAAAAAAAAAATATAAGTATAATAATAAATATACATATATATATTATATTTATATATATACATATTTATTTGTAAAACCAAACATTAGAGGAGTACAATCAAATAGTATCAGTGCGTTTTTACTCTTTGCTTATCATAGTAGACATAATTATAATTTCAGGGATGAGACCAGCGAATTCAAGCTATAAACCCAAGATGCCAAAATTCTTATGGATGTACGGAGTGAGTAAATGCTACAAACAAAGTTTCAAAAGTGCAGGGATTCATAAAAAACTTATGTCGTATGTATATATAAAGATTATAGCTAGATTTTAACTTAGATGTGGGTGCAAGAGACAAAGCGCAGTCCCATTAAAAGTAAAAAACAGAAAAATAAACAACACACATATATAAAACAAACAGTTGTAATTTGGGCACAACAAACTAATTTTCTAATGGATTTGAATATATATAAATTCATTGTTTTCATTTTGTTTTTAATTTTCTAGCTAAAAATGATTATTTTTACCAAAACATTCTGTGGTACCGGAATGCGGTTGATCGTATGTGGGGTACTGTTTAGCGTAGTCACAGTGCGGCGCTGTAAGTTTTTTGATATATTTTGTATAATTTTTGGAATTTTTTTCGTTTAAGTTTTGATAATGTTGTATAGATATTTGATGCAGTAGTTGTTGTGGTTGTTGTTGTTGTTGTTGTTGCGTATTTTGTAACAGTCGTGAAAAAAGTAACCAAAAAAGAATACATACTTAGTAAAATTACAAAAATGTTCACAGCATTGAAGAATAGTTATTTATATGCTACTTAAGTATAGATGTAATTTTATTTATATCAGTATGTATGTATAAGGTATAGATAGATAGATAGATAGATAGATAGCAAAGCAAATTTCACAAGAAATTAAAGATTCAAACAAAAACTTGTGTGAATAAAATACGAAAAGGAAAGGAAACATAAACTTGGAAATTCTTTCGCTTTAAAATAGACAAAGACAGACAGAAAGAGAGTCAAAGAGAGCGAGAGTAAGAGCGGCATGCAGCCTGAAAGTATGCTATGCGTCTTTTTTATCGCCGCTAGCTAAAGCAATTCTTGATATATATTTTTTTTTAATGTTTTTTTCTTTCTTTTGTATGGAGACTACGCGTGTAATACTTAGTTGTAGCAAATGTGTTAACAAAATGAATAAGCGATGCATATAAGTAATCGCTTTATAGATAGAAATAGACGTAGTAGAACAATTATAAAATTACAAGAGCACGAGTATTTATATACATAAAAGCAATTACTTATGTATGATGTATATATGTATGTATATATAATTTTAATTATATTTTTGGTTTTTGTTTTGGTTAATGACACTCGGCCCTAATTGGAACTTGTGATATATTTGTATGCATATATTTTGGTGTTGTTGTTGTACGTTTACACGCTTGCTAATGCCAACAAATTTTACAGACTTAGTTGCACGACCAGTTACCAAAGGATAAGAAACAATAGAAAAACACCATTTCTCAATGTGTGGGTACGTGAGTGGTAAATATAAAAAGTGTGTCTCAAAACTTGTCGTTAGTGTTGTATGCAATAAAAAATAATATAATATGTTGAAGGAAAACATAAATTATAAAATCATAATAATGTAATAGTAACAAATAGAAAGAGCGAGAAATGTACAAACATATAGAAGAAGAATGTTCTGTTCCAAAACCAAGTCAAATATTGGTGTCTTTCACAAGTTACAATTGAAAGTAATGTGTGAATAAATGTGTATGTACGAGAGTATAATAAATATTGTAGTTTCAAGAACGTTCTTAATACGGTTTTGTTATGTTTTACGGTTAACGTATCAATCTGAATAGGTTTCATTACATTTAATATGGCGGCTGGCTGTGCGGCTGGAACTTCAGTGACCGGTTTGGCTGCCTGTAAAATTCATATATAATATACACATGTATATATATTTATTTTGTTTTTGTTTTCAAAATGTTTGGGGGTTTTTTGTTTAGCTAGCCAGCTTTAAGCTAAATGTGTGTATATATATTGTAAATGTATCTTAACATATGTTACACTAATATTAAGCCTAAATGACTGTCTTAACTGCTAAGTGTAGAGCACAATTTGCATAGACTCACCTGGAAGCGTAGATTTGGATCAGCGGCTGCTAAGAAGGGATCATAGTATACGCTGTGGGTGTTCAAGTAGAAGGATAAGATAGATTCGTAAATTAATAACTAAATTGGCAACTTCATTCAATCGATTTTCATGACAGCTGAGGCGGATCAATATTCTCAATTGCTCGTTCATTGATCTGACTTGGCTGCCATTTGATATATATAAAGCACTTAAAAGCAAAATTCAAAAATTTTCACATATATATTATTATTTGTTTTTCATTCATCTTTTTTAACGCACTTGTGTGTGGATTTTGGTTTGGGCGTTACGAACAGAAGGTGAAGACAAAGTTTTGGCCTAGAAGAATGTTGTAATTTAATGCGAAAACTTTGCCTGCGCCATTTTCTGTTGTTTTCCTTTTTCTCTTTGTTTTTAATATATATTTGTTGCACCGGGTACATTGGGTAAAATGGCTGAAACTCAGGGTGTAACTGAAAACGTAAGGACTCCCTAGCTTTAGGCTGCCTAAAATGAACCCAACTCAAACCTAAATTGCCTAACAACTAACTCTAAGCTGCCTCCTCTCCTATTCCCCCGGTAGGCGCTACCCTATCTGATGATGAGGTGATTATTGGATGCATATGCAGATGTAAGCTATAAGTAGAACACTAACTACCAAGGATAATCAACCATATGTGGTAAGTACGAGTACGATATATAATACAACTGACTCGATTCTACGAACAAAATGTATAAGAAACACTCTGCGCCCTCTGCAATTTAATGGACAGAAGAGACATTCATGCACCTAGCTAATTAGTTGGGAATAGTTTCGTATAAAATGTAGCATTATCATTGTTATCATTGCCAGTCATACGCTATTATTTAGTTATAGAACAGCAGCCACAAAGGAACACAAAATTGTAAACGGGTGTATTTCGAAATAATAATATAATATAATTATTTGAGATGTAGAGGAAACATGCGCGACAGCAGCAGACGCATCAAAACATTTCTTTTAAATGAAATTCGAATTCATCATACGCCTAGTGGTACACAATATACAGTATTACGTAGGACCCTTGAACCAAAGTAATAAAAAACTTATACGATTATCAAAATACGAATGCCAAAAAACTGCTCTCAGTCAAGAATAAATAAGTTTGTTTTTTTTTTTTGAGTATTTAAGTAGTAGTTAATGGCGTGCGTTAATCGGTAGCTGCTTTAATAGCTGTTGTTTGTTGCTGTTGTTGTTGTTGTTGTTTGTTGATTTTATACAAGAGACAAGTCTAAACTTGCGATTTAATTAGATGGTACATTAGGCAAATGTGACGCTATGCATATATAGTTGGATATATGTACTTATAAAAACGTTACACACACAAGATAGCTAATTATGTCAAAAGAATCACCGCATAGACCAAAAATTGAGAGACAAAAACAACATTAAAGCTATAAACAAATTTGAGCTCGCAGATGGATGGCGGATGGGGAGGGGAAGTGGACTGGAGTAATGAGGTCAATTTCAGTGGGATAAGGATGCGTTAGGTGTGTAAAATATGAAAGTTGACTGGTGAGCAGCCGCAATAGCAACAACAGCAGCAGGCCGCACAACATGGCGTATGCTTAATTATTCATTGCATGCAACACAGTGAGCCAGTTGTTATTGTTGTTGCTGCTGCTGCTGGTGCAGCATTGGTTGGCATTGGTTTTTGAGTAAGCGTTCGAGAGCGAGCGTAGACACCACATGAACAAAAAGTAAGTGCGCTAAAACTACATTCAATATATAGAGATTATTCAACTAAAAAAGTAAATAATAAATTAATAAACAAGATACAACTAGAGCTACATGACAGTTTCTCTTTTTGGCGGTTTTTTGCGACGACGACGTTTGTTGGTTTTCATTTTTTCTTTTGTGTTTTTGGGCAACGTGGAGTGAACTCTACTTACGGCGCAAATCCATGCAAAGCTGCAGCATTGTTGGCCGCGTTAGCCGACGCTGCCATGGAAGCAGCAGCCGCAGCAGCAGCGGCCGGCGTTTGGGATGCCGTTGCAGCGGATAGCCGTGCCGCGTACGCGGCGGCAGCGGCGGCGCTCGCACTGTTCGCCACACCCGGATTCTGTGCGGCTGCGGCCGCTGCCAGGGATTGCTGCAGCGCCGAGTGCTGCTGAGCGGCAGCAGCCGCAGCACTGCCAGCGGCAGTGGGCACGGCGACGGCCTGCAGCGTCGGCTGCAGCTGGGCTAGTTGAGGCGCGAGCGCATGCGCATGGGCATGCGGATGTGTGTGAGCGACGGCGGCGGCGGCGGCAGCGGCGTGCTGTGAGTGCTGGGCAGCGGCGGCGGCAGCGACTGCGGCATGTTGTTGCTGTTGCTGCTGCTGCTGTTGTTGTTGCTGCTGTTGTTGTTGCTGCTGCTGGTGCTGCTGTTGCTGCTGTTGCTGGTGCTGCTGCTGTTGGGCAGCAACTGCGGCGGCCACCTGACGTCGCTGTTGCTGCTGAGCGGCGGCCGCGGCGGCTGCCAGCGCCGGATGATGGTGCGGATGATGGGGATGGAAGGCAACTCCATGTTGTATGGCAACTCCACGCATGGCAGCAGCAGTTACGGCTGTGAGGCGGCCAAAACGATTTGTTTTTTTTTTTTGTTTGGATTTGATTTTTTTTTTGCAACGATTTTTACACAACATTTTTACCAGTGTGAATGGGTGTTTTTTTATGTGTGTGTTTGTCAGCGTGTGTGTGTGTGTGGGTGGGTGTTGGTACACACGCATAACATTTCATACACGTGTCGCGTGTATTTGTGTTTGTGTGTGTGTGTGTGTGTGTCATTGTGTTCGTGTGCAAAAAGTAGAAAAAAGGAAAAGAAAAGAACATAAAATGCATGCGGTTAGTTTCTCTCTCATAATATAAGTAAATTTATATAATATATATTCATATATGTATATAGTATATGTTTAGCAAATACTAGGCAATATGTAGTAGCTGTTTGAATGTGTAGATATTCAAGTATCGATCGAGTTTTAAATGATGTTGTTGGTATATACATATAACAATACATAAGACATACGTGAGTCAGTCATATAAAGGGGAATTCAGTTTCAGAAACATACTTAATTAATATTATATAACATTGAATTACCAAGAAATGCTACGCTCTTTTGTTTTTATGTTGTGTGTGTGTGTGTTTATTTAAATATAGTTATATATATACGGTTTATTATCATTAATATAACCATCCATTAACAATACGAAAAACATTAGACCAATCTGAGGTTTAGAATAAAAACATATACATATATATAGAGTTTGTAGTTTACGTGTGTATGCGGCAAGACATTTTGTCAAGGTATTCAGAGAACAAAGCAAACGTTTATGTGGAAAATTGTTTGTATGTATTTTTAGAAACCTTCAAACCTTAAAATGCAATCAAAACTAGGAAAACACATTTACTAAAAACAATATTGATGGTGCCGAATGGATTAAAGTTTGGGATTACAGATATTACACAATTAGATGATTGCTATGAATCTATGGGGACGAATAATCCAGCTTAAAGCGTTCTGCGCGATCTGTCAAATGTCAATGGATGCCATCGAATCATTGCGACTCGACATGTAATTAAAAATACATTTTGTGCTATTCGTGACAAACAATTAGCAGCCAGACCGCAATAAATTGGACAAGAGCGCTGCGCTTTGCCGGCCATAATTGGAGATACAGAGGAGCTTCTATGCAAATGCATTTCAATGCGAAACGCGAAATACAAAAATTAATTATTGAATATATCAGCCGAAAACAAATTGCAAATTTATTTGCCTCTTATGCGAAAACAAATTTGATTTTTGCTATATAAATAGCAATTAAAAAGTTGGCAGAGATAATATTTGTGTGTAACATTTGGACTTTCAGCAATTTCGTGGCCCATTTCCAAATGCAATTACCAAAAGTTAATTTCGATTTATGCTATTTACAAATAAAAAAGCATTAGAGCCAAGCAATCAAAGCTCCGAATTGTCGCGTTATTATTTCGTAGCATGCAACAAATTGAAAACGCACCATATCAATATTTGATAACAATTCCTAGGCTCAACTTCTTTATAAATAACCACATCCATTTTCAATTTCATTTTCATTTAAATAAGCTTAAGTTTTCTTTCAATGAGAACACAAAAAAAGACGTGCAAAATTGCAAAGAAAGTAAAAACATATCAAGAGTATAAACAGTTAAGAAATATATGCATAGAGCTTGGCGAGATAGAGAGACAGAGAGAGAGAGCGAGAAAGAGAGAGATTGTGACTAAGAACTAAGGAACTAAATGAAATGCCTTTTATAAAATGAAGCTTGCTTCGCATAAAATTGTCTACCGTCACACGATATAAGGCACTTTATAAACTACGATATAATGTAGGTAAGTACGCTATGGTTAAAGCTAAAGACCTTTCCATACTTAAGAGCTAATTACAGTTGTCAGGTGAGAGTGACACTAGTTGATTGGATCGATTGATTGATAGACTGATTGGCTGATCGATTGGTTGATTCTAGGGTTGTGTGTTGCTCGTGTTCGCCTAGCCGTACGTAGAACAATGCAATCTCAAGGGCGTCCAACAGGTATGCAATATATAGTACTTAGCATATAGTCAAACCCAAATGCGTAACCAAAAGAACAAGACAACAATTATATATATATATATATGTAGGTAAGTATATAGTACAGATCTCAAAACTAAGTTTGTTGCTTGCTGTTATGTCTGTGGAAGTGTGTGTGTGTGTTTGTGTATGCTTGTAGTAACTACGTATGTCTCGCTGGCTGTGTCTGTGTATGTGTTTTGGTCTCTTGTGGAAGTCAACAAGTTTGCTCAATTTTTGAATTCTGCTTTTTTTGGCGCATACAATCAAAGAAATGCGATCGACAATTCAATTCAATGTACCTCCGCCGTGTCGTTGCTGGTGCTGCAGATTGCGCCGTTACAGCTGCTGGGAGTGCACTGTGCGCCGGATGGCGGGACGCCAGCATAATGGGCGTGGCTGCTGGCGTAGATGAGGGCGCTGCGGGTGCGGGCGCGCTGTGCACCGCGGCTGGCACCGTTGCCGCCTGCGCCACCGACAGTGGCATCGGCAGCGCCATCGGCGGCAGCGTCGGCGCTCCGGCACCAACCGGCGCGCCCAAAAATGGCCAAGCGGCGGCCACAGGCAGCCGGTAACCTTGAGGTTCACATATATGTTCATAAATTTTGTTAGATTTTGTATTTGTATCATTCGATGAAACAATGGATGGATGAATCTGGGCTAAGTGTGAATGCGTGTCTTCCACACATATGTGTGTGAGTGAATGTGTGTGTGTGTGTCGTATTTACAGTTCGAATTGTGGGATGCATTGATTCGTTCGACTCGGTTTGGTATTTTTTCTGGTATATATATATATATATATAGCTTAAATCTAGTGCTAAGTAAAGCTGTTTGGTTCGCGACGAAGTTAACAGTTAAATACATTCGTGTTTGTACTTGCGTATACGTATGGATAGATGATAGTGTGTGGATGAGCTAGAGTGTGCGCGTGTGTGTGTGTTTATACATAAGTAATAAGTAATTACGCTAAGGAGCATTGCCGACAATGTTCAGACCAAAGAACCAGACCAAAATATGTCAAAACATAAAACGAACTAAGGACAGAAAAACAAAACGCACATACAACAAAACTGATTAGATAAATGTGTCAAACAAAATTATATTGATTGTTCAGATATGTATATAAAATTATAGTAAATATATATATGTATTTATATGTATATATATATTTTTTTAATAGTGTATATATATAGTAGTTAAGTAGTATGCATAAGACAACACAGCCGCAATATGCTAAAATTCATAACCATTATTAGAGACGATCACAAGATCATCAGCATCATTAAGTCTAGAAAGAAAATGGTGACGCGCCTGATTCAAAATGGGGTTTACGAGCGGTAAGTAACGATATTTGTTTATTTCAATTTAGTTTAAATTTAATTGTCATTCGTGTTTTGTTTTCTATTTTTGGTTTAATTCTCTTTTGGTTTTTAATTTTGGCAAATATGGAAAAAAGTATACAAAAAATAATATAATTACATTAAAAACAGTCATCAAATATTTAGTATTGTGAAAAATAGGTTTACGATTATATCATAGTATAGTATGCAAACAGTTTAACTTGGAACCTAACAATAAAAGTCAATAGATCTATTAAATTTGCATTTGGGTGGAGATTTTTTAATGGCAATTTGAAAATGTTTTCTCGACCTGTCAAAGATCCCAGAGTTACATACAATACTTTTCACATGAGGAGAGCTGCCTAACATATTATTTATGTATATGTAGATATATTGTCATTATTGTTTTTTTTTTTTATTTCGTCGTCCTTGGTTTCGCTTACATTCTAAAAAGGCATATACTTATATTAGGAACTGAGCGGGTCTCGTATACATTAAAGATAACTTATTTTTGTCTGTATATGTGTGGGTGTGAGTGTGTGTGCTTGTGTTCAATTGCGTGTGTGTGTGTTATTTGAGAATTTATAACAAAATACACGGCAAGCAATAAATACAAAATACAAATACAGCAAAAGTATACAAATAAAACGTGACAGAACGCTTACCTTCAGGCCATTGTACGCAAACTATAGCCGGTGGATTTATATGAATCGATGCAGTAGTTGGTGTTGTCGTTGTTGTTGTTGTTTGCATGGAAAAATCAAGAGAAAACTTCAAATTAGTTTTACATTTTAAATCGCGTTTTTATGCATATATTTATATATACAAAGACTTTTCATATAGCCAGTAGGATCAATAGCATTTACAAGTTTGGCCCGTGCTAAATGCAGTTGCGGGATTTGTATATTTTGTGGATAGAAGCTTGCGGGGAGAAGGGGGTTTAGTTGATAGCACACAACATGCATTTCGACTTGAATGGAACAAATATCTGTTTGCCATTTTAGTTAATCAAATTTGGACTTTACATGCTTTTTCTCTCGAATAATTCGCCGATTTCTTGTCTCATCGATTAAATGTGCGCACAAAAGTATGCAATGAAAACTCTAAATGCTTCACAATGATGCAAATGCTAGTTAAATAACAAATAAGCTGTCTGTCGCTCTTCCGCTGTCTGCTAAACACATACATGACGAAAGAAGAGGGGGGAAATCGAAAAGTACATTAAAATAAATGTCAAATAGACAGGCAGTAGGAATTCTAGTTGTTTCTGTTGGTTGGGCGCATTAAGCTGAACATGTCAAAGGATCAACAAAAAATATTTATACACAAATATATGTACATATATGAATGTATGTATGTAGGTGTAGGTCGAAGTTAGCATACCATGTAGAAGGCAAAAGTTTCTGCAAAATGCTGTACAGTAGTGGGGTGAGTGAGTGTGAAAGAAACACATTTGCATAAGACACAGCAAGTAACAGCAACAAAACTACGAGCAAAGGACATGAAGGACAAGACGGCATCTGGAGTTGGTAAGAGTTTTTGATTTTTTGCTGCTAAAATTTATGTGTATGCCGCAACATGTTTGCAACGTTGTGTGCTTTCCATTTTCTTTGTAATTATCCTTACTGCCCGCCCCTATTCGCCCCACTCCGCTTCGTTTGCCTTTGCCAACGTAACGAGCAATAAGAATAACGTGAGCTCTGCCCTGACTGCTGCCACAGCTAATGCTGCCGGCTTTTTGCCCGGCAACTGAAGCCAGTTCGAAACGTGATAAAGTGAGTGCTTCCCCGCTCCCAGCGCACCTCACTATTCCGTTTATACGGCAACATTCTAACTACCTTTCGGTCGCTCTATCTGACTATCTGTCTATCTGTCTGCCAGTCTGTCTATCTATAATATGCTGGCAGCCGCATAAATAGCTAGGCGTCCCAGCGGACACACTGCTTGCATTTAGTGCAACGCAAATGAAGCGCATTACGTGCACGTGGCAGAGCGCCGTGGAGCACTGTGAGGCAGAGGGGTAACCGAGCAGTCAGGCTGGAAAAGCCAATCCAAGCCACGGCAAAGGCACCCAGGGCAGGGCAAGAGATGCCGCCTGCAGCCACAGCCACAGCCATGGCCGCATCACCAATCTGTCTGTCCGTCTGCCAGTCCGTCTGTCCGTTGGCGATACAAAAGCATTTTGCATCTCCTGTCCACATGAAGGCAAAAACTCCGTAGGAGCAGCTGCTGGCTACATTTCAGCTGCTTCCCTTTTGCTTTGGCTCAGCTCGCTTCAGTTTTGTTTGCTTGGGCTGGGTTTGGGTTCGGGTTTGGTTTGGCTTGGTTGGCGTTGGGTTGGTAATCGGCTTATCGTATTTGAGCGAAACTAAAGTATAGATTTTGCGCTGTGAATACTTTTTAATGGCAACTTGCATGGAAAGACGATTTAATCAGCAGTATTATTTATTATACATGGCATGAAAAACTTTCTTGCTGCTCCTGTTTTTCTTCACCCTTTTTCTCTCTGACAGTCGTTTCCCATTTCCTTTTTTCTTTTTTGGTAAAAGCGCAAACTTTGAGGTAACCGCAAGCTTAAATAAAAACGTGTATACTGCAAAACTAACATTAAATAACTAAGAACTTCTAACTGACAAAACTTCGTATAAGGAACCACACGACAGGGACAGAGTATATATACAGATATACATATATAGATACGCTCCTATAAAGTTCCAGCTGTCAAATGAAGCAGTACGTATAGAAAGAACAGAACAATCATAGAATCATGGACAGTATTCATGCTGGGACTGTGAGTGTAAATGCATGTATGCTTAGATAATATCGTTTAGTTGTTGGTATTACAGTTAATTTCGAGTTGTTTGGCCAATATTGGGGTTTGTATCATGCCACCGTTAGCGTGCAACATGCCAGGACAATGTTGACTATAGATTTGGGTGCTATTGTACTATAAAAGGGGTTACGCTCAATCATGATTAGGTGCCTATGGCTATGGACAACATTAAGTGGATTAATTATGCACGAGCTATATATTGTTTTTCTTTTTTGGTTCATTGTTTGCAAGCAAGTTACAAGACATAACACAAATGCAATTTTCCATTTATATTTGTTCTCTGGTTCGCTCACCTAGAGCTGGAGCCGGTAGGGCACCGTCTTTGGTCAGTACAACTGTGTGTGTTGTTGGTTGTGTGAGAGAAAGCAAAATAAAAAATAAAAAAATTGGTATTTTAATTTCATTGTTCTTTGTAATTATTAGATCGGTGTGTTCAATCAACGGTAATCGGTTCGCAATACAAATTGAAGGACAAACACTTTAAATCCATAACTCTGGTTAATAGAACAAACAAGGCAAAAGTCTCATCAAACGTTTGTGTATGTGTGTGTGTAAGTTTATATATGTACATATGTGTCTATAGACTGTTTGGTTAGCAACCGCAAAGTCGGCTAGAGTTTGTTAGTATGGCAATTCAGTTAACAAGTTTTTGATTGCCTAACGCCTTGGCATACGTCTTATCAACAAGTTCCTCAAATTAAATCAAAAGCAATAACAAATTTCCAAGACCAAACATTTTCATTAGGAAACATTCGCTCAGTTTTGCTAACATTGCATTTGCAGCCGCCACAGAACTTTATGTGAAAAGTTCAACTTGAAAAGGAAAACAACAAAACACAAAACAATAAACAAAAAGAAACGGAAAACCGAATTTTAGAAAAAAAAAAAAAAAAAAAAAAATCAACGAAATTTATATCAGCACTAAACGCAACAACGGCAACGGCCAGTCAAATATTATGGCAGTTGTGTTCAAGTTTTTATTGTTGTTGTTATTTAAGTTGCCTTTTGCGTGCTTCTCATTTCTTATAGTTGTTCTAGGCCAGCCGTAATTGCATTTCTTTGTTCAACATTTAAACTTGTTTCGCTACATAGCTTACACTTAGTTCTATATAGGTGATATACACGTGTATTCGCGTGTGTGTGTGTGCGTGTGTTTAAATGTGTGCGCGTGAGGGTTAGAGCAACTTACCGTTGGGTACTGCTGTCACTTTTTTGGTTTGTACACGTGCAGTGGCGTTATTCACCTTCACATTGGTTATTGGTAACGAGTAGAGTTGAGTTGAGTTGAGTTGCAGCGAGCGTGGTGGGTTTTGGTGGTGAGTTTTGTAGTTTGATTTTTTTTAATATAATGTACGCATTATATAGATTTTTTGCATATTATATTTTAATCGCATTTCGCATGTACAGAGAAAATAGGAAAAAATTTGTGTTAGTTAACAATTACAATTGCATGAGGTGTGTATGTATGTGTGTGTGTGTAAGTGGTTAAGGCTGTGAGGGCAAATTAATAAATACTATTTGTTTATAACAGCTATATCCCATTTCCAACATTTGTGCTCCATCTATCTTTCACAGCCTTCGATATTCATTTCACACCCGCACAATTGCATTTCCTCTCGATAATTAGGCAGCTTTCTGGTTTCACAACACAATAAAATAATGATTGCCATCCTCTGGGGGGTTGCTGTTGAATTGTTTAAATAACAGTTGGCACTTTGCGCTTTTTCAGCATATTTTAAATACCAATTATCTGTGGCCGTCCACTTAACATAAATACAGAGGCAATGGGGTGCGCCGAGCGCACGGACAGACATCAATTCCTTGATGCGAAATGTGAAATGAGCAGGGAAAAAAAGTAATTAATTTTTAATTAAAGGCAAATAAAAAAGGCTGTGCATAATTTAAAAATTAATGAGCATTCGATTAAAATGCGAAATCAAAGTCCGCTGACCGTGTGTGAATCCGATTTTAAATACGCTTTGCATTGCCCCAAAAGCGCAATCAATGCGCGGCAAATTTAATGAAAATAAAAGGAGAATGAATAAAGTACCATAAAATAAAACTCGCTCTGCAATGTGAAAACACGTGAAAACTATTTCACGTCACGTAGACACGCAAAGGCCGAGACTTGAAAGCCAATTTCTTCGAACCGAAGTTCTTTGCCCTGCTCTCTCTCCACATATATTGTAGTATTTCTTCGGTGGTAAATAAGAAAGTTGTGATAGTTTTACAATTAGTTTTAGATAATAGTAGCTGCCCATGTGTTGTGTGAGTGTGTATGTGTATTATGTGTGTGTGTGTGTGTGTGTGTGAGTGTGAGAGTGGTTTATAGTATTTTCTGGCTTGCATGCACCCACCTCGATTTTGCGTCCCTCAACCACGGTGCCGTGTAGACGTTCGCGTGCTCGTTCTGCATCGTTGCTGTTAGCGAATGTTACAAAACCGAATCCCTGCCATTCGCAATCAAACATGCAATTAAAAAACATATAGAGTATATAAGTATATGCGTATACAAAGAGAGATATACAGGTAGACTATATATGGAATATATATGTATGTATATGTAGATGTAAAGTACGATTCCAAAACAAGGTTGGCACCAAGGCACACGGCTAGGCTACAATATAGTATACACGAAAGGGGAGCAGAATGGAGGGGAAGTAAGGTGTGCGGAGGAGGTTTGAGCGAGGGCCCTGGGTATGCGGGCCTCAGCATCTCGGGGCATGCGTCGGCACCTTAAATTATGCACATTTTTTCGTCTCTGCAGAGCAACAGCGACTGTTGCTATGCAATTATGTTTGTGAGCGGCGTCTGCTTAACGGTACACTGAAGTTTTGCCGTTACTACTGGAGCTGTAGCCGCTGGAGTGTAAGGAGGAAAAGCAGATCCAAGCGAACTCAATGCTTCAACAGGGTGGTCCCTGGCAACGGTGCCGGACAAAAGGACATCGCTTCCCCTAACAATGGCTCAAGTGCCCGCCCGCTCAGTGCATAATTTAAATGAATCGTGCAACAGGATAAAGCAGACTTCCTGTGGACTTACCTTGCTGCCGCGCTCATTGAAGATGATTTCCACGTCCAAAATGTTGCCAAATTGCTAAGGGCGGAACAGGAGTTGGAGTTAGTATTATAGGAAATTGTTGCAATTGTTCTGGCGCTGTCGCTGCCTCTGGCTTACCCCAAACATGGCACGCAGATCGGGGTCCCTGAAGCGAAACGGTATATTGGAGACGTGCAAGCGCTTGGGCTGACTTTTGGCATCCAGCGATGCAGCAGCGGCCACGGCGGCGGCCACCGACGAGGACACCGACTGGTTTAGACTAGTTACCACATTGGGCGATTGCACGGCCGCAGTTATGATTCCGCTGACGGCGTTCATGTGAGCAAGCACCTGTGAGGTGCTGGCGGGCTGGCCGCAGTTGGCAATACTATCCAGGCCGGCTGTGGGCAGTATTCCTGACGAGACGCTGCTGCTGGTGGCGGCCAATGCGCCCGAAGCTATGGAGCTGGCGGTCACCGAGGTGGTTGCTGTGGGACTGCTGCTTAAGTTGAGCTGTTGCTGTTGCTGCTGTTGCTGTTGTTGCTGTTGCTGCTGTTGCTGTTGCTGCTGTTGTTGTTGCTGTGCAGTTGGTGGTGTTTGCAGCAGCGGCTCACCGCTGGCAATAGGTGATGTGTTGCCCGAGACGTTGCCGTCGTTCGAGATGCTATTACTATTGCTGTTGCCGTTGAGCGTGGCTGCTGCTGTCGGGGCGACTGAAACGCTGGACGGTGAGCTGCTGTGCGGAGAACTGGGCGTACCACCACCACCGCCACCGCCGCCGCCACCACCAGTTCCAGTACCGCTGCCACCTCCACCAGAATGAGGCAGTGCCGAGTTCTGCTGTGCCTCCGGTGCCTCGTTGGCAATCAATACTGTGGACTGTGGACGCAAAGAGAAATGAAATAAAAATCAAATTAGTATAATGCCAAATGGACTTAATCTAAAACTAATGCTCATATTGCTGCTGTTAAAGCACAACAGCGCTCCGTGAATGACAATTTTCCCCGAAATTCTTTGCTTAATGCACTCTCCCCTGCGCTTATTGAATTAGGCAAAATTTGTTAGATGTATAATTTATATAGACATGTTCTAGATCTGACATTGATTAACATCAAAATGAAAAATCAAATTATTTTAATGTTTGATTTTTTTTTTTTTTTTTAGCTTGAAGCATTAAACCTAATCCCATATTGCTCTTGTTGAACGAATATACAAATTCGCAGGTTTCTCTGCATTATGCATTCTACATTAAAAGCATATCCTGCACTTATTCAATGCACTTATTCTATATGTAAACATATCCTAAAATTGATAACAAAATAAAAAGTCAAATTAGTTTAATGGTTAGTTGCATTTGGCTAAAGCATTAAACTAAATCTCATATAGATATATGATTAACAGTAGATGAAGAAGAGGTAATTTAGTGTCATGGTCAATTTTTGGCTTGGAGTAACATGAAATTATATCACATCAAACAGTATTCTCTATTCCATGCCTTAGTGTCATTATGCACCTATTCAATTGTATTACATATATGTTGATAAATCATAGAACCAATATAGATATATCCATGATTTGATATCGAATTCGACAATTGTTAGATTGATATAGTTAATAAACTTATACTTATATATAATTAATATAGTTGAGTCTACATTTGTTGTTTGATTGATGCTCAGTTCAGTTTAATTTCGTTTTTCGCATTTTGGAGTACAATAAATATTCAATTGCGTATAAATCAAATTTGCAACACTATTTACAGACCCATTGCAATTCTTATTTGATTCAATTGTGCTTAAGTTCTGGACTCTCACGGGAATCCAGTGCACAAATTGAGTGAAAAACAATATCAACAATGTGCTTGTTGCTGAAATGCTTTAGTAATGTAAATGTATTATTGATAATTGGTGAAATGTAGATGCATTTGTAGTGGCTGTAGCTGACGACGTAGTTGTGGCTGCTGCAGCTGCCACATCGAAAATCGAATGCGAACAAGTGCCGCAATAAATAAACAATTGAAACGAAAATACAATTTTCAAGTGGTTTGTAGACACACATACGAGCAGCTATTGTGTGTGTGTGTGTGTGTGACCCAATAAAAAAGAAAGGTTACACACACACACAAACAGAGAGAGTGAGAGAGAGAGAGAGAGGGAGAGATCGGACAGACAATCGAACCCAATGCGAATGGCACATTTGTGGCACATACTTTTGTTGACTTATGCAATAAAACTGTCGCGTAGTGCACCACGCCCACGTCCCCACGCCCACGCGACCTATCTGTGTGCAACCAAATCCGAGCTATGTCCCTGCGGAAATGTTTGCATTTGTATTTTTGCATTATTAAAACTGAATATGCACTGTGGCATGTTGCCTATTGGCATTGTTGTCAGTCAACCAACCATGCCACATGTGTCGTCCTCTCTCCTTCCCTCTCTATATCTATCTCGCTCGTTATCTGTCTGTGGGTTTGAATAATTTCATATTATTGTCAATTTACGCACACGATGCAAATGCATTGGTAAATGCAATAACATCAGCTAAGAGCATATACATACATATGTGTAAATTCGATTTGTTCAGGGGCGGCGGCCCCTCAATGTAGGCAATAGAAACGGCGCTAACTTAATTTTGGGGTTGCGTTCGCCGTTTCGTATTAAATGCGCATTGTTGACACATAAATTAAAGCCAATTCCTTTTGTAAACATGTATGTATATCGCGGTGAGCTATTCCCTATACGATTTGGATTGCATGTTTAGCGCACATTTTCCTTCTCTTTCTTTTTTTGTTTTTTATTTTTACCTTGGCGAGGTAAAGTGAAATAGCGTGAAAAACTTTAGCCGTATAAATGGCTAACGATAACGTAGGCAGATCCTGCAAATGAAGTGAAGGGCCGTTGGAATTCGAATCGGAATAGGGAATGGGATGCATGGAATTGGGATTGGGTTACGCTAAAATGACATTTAACGCTTTTTAGTTTATAAAATGCCTTCAGTGAAGCACGCGAAGCGGTGCCAGCAAAAAGGTCGCTCGCTAGTTTGCATAAATTTCAAAAGCAAAAGCCAAGGAACAAGGAATTTTGTGGCACATATCAACGACAGAGGCATACTCTATACAAAGAGTCTTAAGAGCTACAGAAATATTTTAGGCCTTATAGTTGCCTCAAATATTTTAATAATTTTAATTTAACTTATCCTTGATCTTGAGATAAATATGCATACATCATCCGAAAAATAGGTATATAGCCAATATGCCCCTTTTTATGGCTTGCCTGAGAGTACAGCTGCAGAAATAGTTTGGGCCTTATAAGTAGCCCAACTATTTTAATAATTTAAATTTGACTTATATTTTATGCAGAGACAAATACCCAAATATCATACTAAAAGCATCATATAACCAATATACCCATTTTTGTGGCTTGACAGAGTATAGGTCGATCAAAATCAAAGGGTTAACATGCAAAGGGTCTTGGAATTTGAGCTAAATGTTTTCAATTGAATGCGAAAGGTGTTGGCTTCTCTAATCAAAATTAAATTACCCTAATTTTGTGAATGGTTTCATATTCCAAGTGGCTCAACTGAAATTGGCCTCAACTTTGAGAATTATTTGTAGTTTCCACGTGGTTAAGATACCACAAGTAATTAGTCGCATTGATGCATAGCTTAGCCTAGTAATACGTATTATAATGTAATATGTAGAAAATCATAATATGTTATGTAATAATATTTTAATTTAATATTAATTTACTTAGTGCGCTGTAAGACCAAGCTTATTCCGAAAAAAGAAAAAAAAAAAAAAGAATTTTGCCTCCACATTTTGCTTCTCTCTACTCAAGTTTACGAATTTATAAACTTAGACAATTGCTATGCAGCCCAACATTGTTGCGAGACGCGCTGGGAATGACAATGCGTAAGCTGCAATGAATGCGTACTAACTACGTGGGTTCTCTATGACTAAGTAGCAACTTTTGCTTAATGAAGGCGCTGGTCAGCAAAAAGGCAGCAAACAGAGAACAAAAAGGGAGAGAGAACAAAAACTGAGCTGCGGAAACCCAGAGCAAGCATGAAACCGAAAACCAAACTTATGAAACGTATATCCCAATTGTCTGCATTACTCTAGAGTTTTTCTTGTTCTTTTATTTTGTTATTATTATTATTATTATTATTTTGTTGTTGTCTTTCACTGTTTTTCATTGCGATTCTTTTCTGTTGCTGTTGCTGTTGCCTTTCTTGACTGTTTATTTTATTATAATTTTTTGCAGTTGCTGCGTTGGCCAAACTCACAATGCTGAGCACATTCTGTGGGGTATGCGGTAGCTGCTGCTGCAGTTGCTCCATCGCGTGTCCATTTGTCAGAGGTGCGGGTGGCTGCTGCTGCTGCTGTTGCTGTTGCTGTTGCGTGACCAGCGTCGTGGCAGTTGTTCCTGCTGTGCCACTTGCTTGCACTGGCAGTGTGGCTGGAGTTGGGGCTGTGGTCCCATTGCTAATGCTGCCATTGTACTGTGTCTGTTGTGTTTGTTGTTGCTGTTGTTGTTGTTGTTGTTGTTGTGTTGACAGATTTGTCTGTGATAAATTTGCGGATAACAACAAGGATTTGCGTTTAGTTGGCATTACAGGCGCATTCATAGCTGTGCATATACATATATATTTATATATGTATATAAATATATATACGTATATGTGTATGTGTGTGAGTGTGTGTGTGAAAGAGAGTGTTTAAGTGACACAAGGACTACGATAGGCAGACGGTCAGGCAATCAACCAAACGACCAACACCAAAAAAATTGCTTAATATTTAAGTACATTGCAAATATGTATACAAGTAATTAAATATATATAAGTATATATGTATATAACTAATACATATTCAACTGCATTTGCCAGGGTTTAGTTGCTTTTGCTTATTTCATTTTGAACATGCCTCAGATACAGCTAGCGTATTGTTAATTATATAAGTAGTATAAATATATATATATGTATGAAAATAGTGATATAACAAAATGCGAAAAACTAGAAAATGACTTAACAGTTTTGTTTTGTGTTTCTTTTTTACAGTCTTAAGCTAAGATATATGTATATAGATATAGATAAGTAGATATATATTTCATATTATGTATAAAAAAACCATACAATACATGTCAAGGATTATATTTATTCAAATTGCACACACAGATGTGACTCCATCAACCAGTCAATATCAATAACAATTCATCAATCAGTTCAGCAAACTGTCAAACTTAAAGCATGGCTCACATTGTGTGGATTGGTAAAGGGGGTAAATTACTAACAGCAACTGATAGCCATATATATGTATATATACGTATATATTTTGGAGAGAAATATTATAAATTAGATTAACGATCTGTAAATACATCATGCGACCAACACATATTATGTTTGTTTATTATCAAAAAAGTGAGTTGTTTGAAAAATAAATTCATAGCTGGATTAGTTTCAATGGCCCAACATCCAACCGGGCGTATGCGTAATTTTATATTTTTGATTTAACACCTCAACTAGCACGTTTATGCAGACTTCTTCCTGTGTGTCTGCTGCCCGCTACTCAAGTATCTGTCGAACGGAAATAGAATGAGTCAGATTTGTCGACGATTTACACTCATGCAAAAACAATATAGTTTCAGGCGACAGAGGCGCAGAAATGTTGTCCTGATATCTGTTTATTGTTTCTTGTCCATTTTACCTGAGGCAATTCGCAATGCGTTTGTTCAGCTGTCGTCGCTCGCAGTTATTTGTGACCGAGTGCATGGCTATGCTTGAGTTATGTTTTATTTATGACAACAGTTTGCTCCTATTATTGTACAGTTACTGCAATTGCAGCTACAATTGCTCAATTCATATTTAATTCAGAGAAAGGATATACCACTAGACTAATTGAATGTATTTACATATAGATGCCGGCTGATGAAGTGTGTAAAACCATGATGCGAACTTATGACAGCTCAATTATTGACAACAGGGCTTTAACGGAAATTAGCTAAAGATATACCAAAAATATATATATGGAAATACAATTCACAGATTATCCAGCTTAGCAGAACAATAGTTTAATTTCTGATTTACACATACTAAATTTAAGTCAACTCACTTATTGTTCTACAAGCTAGGACTCCCTTATGCCAAGAAAATCCCATCGAAATTATACTAAGTAGATTACCACGTGGACATATTTTGTTGATGAGTTGTGTATTTAAATCAAATTCGGCTACATTGCCTATGCAATGTCTAATATATTTGATAATTTATGGCTAGATTCACAAAGATAAGTTCAACTACAAAACGACAAAAGGAAATACAAGTTAAGGCCGAAAATGAAACAACAACAAGCAATTTTATTGCCAATAATTAAATATTTGATTATTTATTGCACATGGGAGGCCAAAGTTCGCCAACATTTAAATGCAAACAATTAAACAATTGCGTAAGTGTGTGTATATGTGTGTGTGTGTGCGCGAGTGTGCGTGATATTGTGTGGCACACAAATTAAATGTTACACAAAAGCTTAGCTGAAAAATGTAAAACCCAGCTGTTAAATTATTCAAATGCACGAATCAATTTTCATAAACAAATAAGCACATGCCGCTGCTCAAACAACAAATGCTGCGTGAAATAAAATCACATGAAATCGCCAATAATAAAAAAACAACTTTAAAATTGTCCAAACATTTGTGATTCAATAAAAATACTCAGCATTGTTCATTAAATAAATGAAGAGCATTAAATATGTAAGACTCATTTAATTTAAATGCTTGAACTGATTCCCTTAAGACCGAATCCAAAAAGAACAAATTGTGAATGACAGATTTTAATTTTATACATGTTTATTTTTTATTCACTTTCATTTTAGTTAAAATGAATTAGTCTTGTTGTTTTATTCTATGAATTGGCTTGTTGAATTTTTTAATGAGAACATAAAATAATTTGTGAGCGCTGTAAGCCACACAGAGCTCGGCCGAGTGTCCTTCGGGCGTTTGCTGCTTCGCATAAACAATAACAACAACTCAAACGACGCAACGTGCTGGACCAGCCCCAAAAAGTATGCTACAAAAATATGAATGCTAAATTGTGTACGTAGAGCTTACTGAGCGCGCTCCTCTGTTTATTGCTGGTTTTTGCAAAGCACATGATCAAATATGTAAAGGAAACAACTAACATGAACGTGTTTCTGACTGTGTGTGTGCGTGTGTGTGTGAGCGCTTGAGTATATGTGTGTTTGTGTTTTGTGCATAGTTATAGACACACTCAACGACTACATAATGGCAAATCAAAGCAGAGCAAGACAAAACCGAACCCAAAAGCCAAAGCCAAATTAACGCTACAAAATACAATTCAAAAACACAAACTCATACACATACACAGACACACACAGAGCGACAGAGAGAGATGGAAACAAACACACACGCAGACACACACACACACATACACATTTAGAGTTAGGGAGTGTTGAGAGTGAGTGCTTGAGAAAGAGTCTGGAGCGGAAACTCACCTTTTGTTGGATGTACATCGGGGCATTGACAGCAATGCCATCTGCCCCGCTGGTGGCCACTGCCACGGAGGCTGGCGCGACACCAGCTGCTCCTGTGCTGCCATTGCCCGCTGTTGAGGATTCGGCGGCTGCCTTTAGCTGCATGCCGGGCTCAGTTTTGATGGCGGCTGCTGTCACGGCCAGCGACAGGCTCTCGGCCGCTGTGGGCGCACCAGCAGCGGCCGCTGCCGCTGGTCCTGGCGCGGCAGGATAGCCGGCTGGTGCGCCTGGAAACGGCGCCACGCCAGCCTGCACCATGTGCTGCAAATGAGAGACCGAGAAAGAGAGAGGGAGAGAGACAAGGCAAGGGCCAAGATTAGTATGGAAATCATTTGTGAACCACTATGTATGTATATGTGCATTAAAATAAATACTGCGAGTATTAGTTGACTTATAAAATATGTATATGAATGTCCAAGATATTACATGAACATATATTGTGCCATCTGCCATCAGTTTTTGAAAAAGCGTATCTGAAAATCTGCTCTTTGCATCATTTCTGACTGGACCCACTGCATATTTGTCTATGTGCATTTGGCCACTCCGAATGCTGCCATAAAAGTGCAAAATGAAATCCGTATAGTTTATTTTGCACGTAACCCATGACCGCTATCTATGGTAGCCGCTAAGCTCCTGGGTAGACAAAGGCAACTAACTGCCAAGTGGATATACACATATGCACACACACAAACACACCAACACACCCACATGCACAAATGCATTGGCTGTAGCATTGCGAGTTTTAAATTGCAATTTTTATTTGCACCAATTTTGGCTATTATTTTGCTTGGTTTACCTGCCAGCTGCCACCCACGCACACACCCCCCCCCACACACACACAGCGTTTGTTGTCAACAGCTATGAAATATGCAAAATTTGCAGCTTATTCGAGCTAAATAAACCTCAGCTCCAACCCTAATACATAGCACAGCTCCCACAGCCCAACCATTTTGTCAGCAAACTTTTTGTAATTTAAGCGAACCAAAGCCAGAGGGATACAGAACGAGAGAGCGAGAGCAATAAAAGGAGAGTGAGAAAGAGAACTAGGTAAATGGGGATTATCGTGTGAGTGGCATTTTAATATGTTTCACTGTAAATTTGTTGGCGCTGTTGTGTTTCTTGATTAGAACGCTTGCCTTGTCGGCTAAGGCTGAAGCTGAAGCTACATGAAATGGATATTAATTTTGGGATTAAGCGAAGCATGGAATATATTTCCTTAATTTAAAAACTGTCAGTGCCAACAATTTCTGTATATTTACGAAATTTCTCAAATTTATGTAAAAAGTTTAAAAAATATCAAAAATATAATAAACTAGATTTTACGATAATAACACACCAGAATTATAGTTTCAATTGTGAAAAAATCACAGAAATTGCAATGATTAAAAAAGTCAAAGTTTAAAAAGTCAGTGAAAATATTAGAATTAAAGTTTAACCCTTAACATTATCATATTATTATATCATATTTTATACTCCTAGGGAATACCGAAATAGTCACTGTCATACCAGTTTATTATTCAATATTATTTCCGTCAAGAGAATTAGGAACAACATGTTTTGGGATAAGCCCAAATCACATCAAAGTTTTTCAAAGCACACAGATCCCAATAAACCATGTCTTATGCATTGGCTGCGGTTCGCATCTCTCGTCTCATTAGGCAGCCCACAAAAAAACAAGCACTCTGAAGGAATACAAATTTCAGTGATCATATTTTTGGCACCGCCCCATCCCCCATTCCCCATCTCTTTGGGCACACCCCACACACATTCGGCGAACGTTTTCCCTGCTTTGGCTGTCAGTCGTTCCTTCTGCTCTTCGTTTGCTTCTGCGCCTAGCAAACGCACAGCGATTTGTGCTTTAAAAAATTAGCTTGTTAATTAAATGCAAGCCATATGACACACAGGCCCCTTCACCTTCGTCGAGGGGCTGTGATGTAATCTGCCGTGCAAATTGGCGCACTTTGCGTATACGCCGTGTTGCTCAAAATACACATTCGTATTCTTATCTCTTTCTCTTTCTCTGTTTTCTTTTTCTGTTGCTGTTTCTATATATTCAAACGAAAATATTCATGTTAAATTTACATAAATTCTTCGAAAATTCATTTTGATGTCTCGCGACACCGGCGCGATCGCTGCAGTCAGATGCAGACGACTTCTAAATACTCTCATCCAAGAGCTTATGAAAAATTCAAAAATCAAACTGATAGATTAGTTAGTAATTGTGTCAAGAGAAAGAGAGAAAAGAACGAATTCAAAATTTAGATATGTTTTTTTTTTCTCCATATATATATAAGTATATTATACCCAGCAAACCGGATATATCAAATAGCACATTAACATTTTCATATGCTTTTCTATTATTGGCAAGCCACATACATCGAAATATGACAGCTAATTAAGCACTTGTTTAATGGCAAGGTATTAGCTAGTCTCTATTAAATGTCATCAAATAAGAGCACTCGACGTTGAACATGTTGAAATGTGTTGCTGTTGTGGCTGTTGTTGCTGTTGTTATTATTGTTGTTGCTGTCGCTTTTGCAACACTTAATTTATCTGTCAGAATGATCTAGTTTGGGGACCTGCGGCATAGGTTCTTTGAATTGTGCTAGCCGAGTGCCCCTTGAAACAATGCACACAGAGTACTCAAAGACCATGGCATGAGGGCGTTACATACATACATATATAGATCTGGCAAATTACTACTAATTGCATGAACTTTAATTGACTAAGAATATCGTTAGTCGTGTAAAGAGTAGACAAAGTAATGTAACAGCAATGCCACAATATATTAAAGTATGATTTGCTAAAGTTAGTTTGTGAGCTTCATTTATGAAATAATTAAGTACTCATTTATTTTATAGATGTATTAAAATATAATTTTATTTTATTTTAATTTTAATCATAACATTACTAATTATTGTTAGTACTTAATATTGCTCAATCAACTTTCTTAGCATACGAAAGTCACTTGCAGCTTTCCTCCTTTGCAGAGCTAAAGGGATATCAGCTCCAATTTAAATTGCAACATTTACACAAATTAATACTGAACAACAAAGCTCTCAAATCGCCGTAGATCGTTTCTTGATGTCTGTGAGTAAGGGTATTTTATAGACCCTCTGAGATTGAAACTGAAAGAGCAACGTGCGAGACTGCTCTTCAACTAGCTCGTTCACCATCGGAAGGAAACCTTTCGGCTTTTGTCGATAATTTATTTGCGAGCTATGCTTAATATTATATAATATTCAAATTAAAAACTGAACTTTGATTAATAGATGTAGTTCAAATGGCATCTGTTACCAATTATGAGACACTTTTCTGGGTAAAAACTCTTCCAGGGTCATCTCGGTCTCATCTCTTTGGCCTGCCACCAATATATCTCTGTTAAATATGAATTCGCTTTTGGCGCACAATCAACGTGTCTATTGATTGCCATTCTGTCATTCCCCTATAATTTCCCATAAATTTTGCATGCGATTCTGTCATTTTTATGCATTGCTGCACTGTTAAATATTTTGCATTTAATTGCACTCGAATATTGGCAGAGTGGAGCAGTTTCTCCATGTTTTGTTTTTACTTTGCAGAGTCCTATTTGCATGGCAAATATCTTGTCCGCATTTATTCAGCTATTTCTTTTGCAGCATCCCGTTCTCGGCCAGTGCATGCTGCCAGCTGGCGCACTTTTATCGACTGCGTTGCTCTTTGGCCCACAGTTTGTTTGCATTCGCCGGCTGGCACCTAGAACGTGTTGTTTTTGGAACGTTTTCAACAAAACACTTTACGCTCTTCATTTTTGCTGCAATTGCTTGCTGCTGCTGGCTTTCAAGTGGCTTTCAAGTATTTCGCCTGAGTGCTGGCGCACAATTTCGTCAACGCAGCGTGCAGCAGCTGTCCTGCATATTTAACTCTCTCATTCAATTAATTGTGTATAAGTTCATCAAATTTCGTTAAATATATGCATTACTCTCGCTGAAATATTCACAGCGGCGCTCACGGCGTATACTTGATTATCAGCTATGTCACACACTGCGACAGCTGATTGATGGCCCCAAAATAAAGAAAACTTGTGCGCAATTCGTGCCAAGGCATGTTTTGCGGTCATGTCATAAGAAAACAAAGCAAAAATAAAATGCTTCTCATATACATAAATCTCAATAATTGTCGATGTACTCGATGCTCATATGAGAAAGTTTCAAGTAGAGAACCCTGAATGATTTGTAATGCGAGCGTATCGTAACTCTATTTTGGGCAGCCTGTCCAACTATTTGCTTTGTATTATTCTGCATACCATAATTACTCGACACAAGCACAAATATTTGCATGTGGCTCACAAATTATATAGTTCCATTACATCAACCGAATATTAATAAATCATGACGTGAACGAACAACAGCAAACAGCACAAAATATATACATTTAGTTATGCCAAATTATTTGTGCCTTCCCGGCGTCTGTCGTCCGGCCGTTGTGCGTCAGCTGCACGGCGAACGAACATGTTTCGAGTTTGAACCTGACACAGTGAAAAGCGTTTGACCAATTGCTCAATAATTGCTGCTGACGCAATTGACGTCGGCGCTGCGCCCATTTTGGTCAATCCGATGGCAAATTTGGGGCGCTGGCGACACACGCTTAAAAGCCGGGCCAAGTGCCATCGGACAGCCAGCCCAATCCAAGTTGGTTAGCGAACGGCACGACGCGCTGAATGCCAATTAAAATGGGCAGCCAATTGAAATTGAAATTGAAATTTGTACAATGCGCGGCGATTGTTTAACTTTATATTGTTGTAGTTGTTGCTTTTTCTGCTGCCGCTGCATTGCTATCGTTGTTGTTGTTGTTATCTTGCCAAATTTGCGTCTCAATTGCCCAATGGGCGTGGAGTGGAAAGCTTTCTAGGTCGATGCTAATCACGTCTGCCTTTCAATTTCCAGTTGCGAAAGCAACGCTGCATATTTGCCGGGAGCCAGCACTAAAAAGTCAATTTGCCAAACTGCAATTGGCCGGATGAAGGTCATTTGCTGGCAGCTGTCAACTCAATTAACAAGGCAATATTCCGAAAGCAGGCTCCTATTAGAATATGATAACTTCAAACTTATTTCGAATTAGTGTAGATTGACAGGCAGCCAGCCGGCTGCCAGGCAGTCAAGGCCTCCGTCCTCCTAATATGCATCGTGTTGTGTGTTGAATTACACTCTGGCTCTTGGCGCACAGGAAATTATAGTAAAAGCGTGTTGATGTGTAAAAGGATGCACACGCATACATCCATATA